AGAAGGACAAATACATCAAAAACAGCAGCAAAATGTTTTTTACAGTTAACCAGGGCCGTCCCTCACAGGCAGATCACGCAGACTGCGTGGGGCCTCACCTTGCGGAGGGAGCCTCAACTGAGCTGCACCTATGTGCGCATGCGACGCAATTAGTGTGGCGCGGCACGGTTTCGCCGCTGCGAGGCTCCACTAGCACCCCTCCCATCGACGCTCGCGAAACAGAGGGCCTCATCATATAACTTTGCATGGGCCTCAAGTTGGCCAGGGACGGCCCTGCAGGTAACTAATATTTAATCATTAAAATGATATACACAAGTGAACGAACACAAGGAAGCATTCTGAGACTCTGAGATGTACAGTAAAACAGGAGTGAATTATTGTTTTTATTTTAAATCGCAAAATGTCTGACTTTTTTTGCCATCTGTGAGGAAAATAGGGAGGCGTGTGGCGCAGTGGATAGCCTTTTGTCAGTTCGTCTTGTTTGTTTCCCCGAATGGTCGTGCCAAGCCTCAGCTCTGAAAGGATCGCTTTTTCCCTCATGTCAGGTTATTTTGTTTATTTTTTGTTGGCTTAAGTTTTGATTAAGTCCTCTTTTTGTTATGCAATTTCCTCCGTGTGGGCGCCTTTTGTTATTTCCACCACCTACTCTGTTAAGAGGGATTACCTGCACTGTGGAAAATAAATATACCATTTTTATATTCAAGACTTTGTCTCTGGGTCGTGCATTTGGGTTCATCAGTTTGTGTCGAGGTCCTGACAATATATGTAGACGATAGACACATTTTCTTGACCATTTTACTAAGGGACTATGGTCTAATTCAAGCATTTCTGTAGAACGTTTCCTGATGTTGTAATGTTTATTGTTTCTGTCTGAGTATAGCATATTATAATGTAATATCAAAAGTCAGAGCATCCTATTTCTTCATTTAAAAAACTGATTCCAAAGTTAAAGTATTGAATGCAATACAATGTCATAGTAAAACATGCCAATCACAAGTGATTAAATTGAAAAGTCATAGTGTGGTATCCCATAGAAATATTAGTCAAGAAGTTGTAAGAAAATGCCATAAAAATGTCATTGTACAAAAAGTCATTGTATAATGTAATCAAAATAATCATTTTTAAGAGGTCATAGTATAGTATGCCATGAAAATATCATCAAAAAAGTCACACTATAGCATGTAATACAAAGTTCTTAAAGGTCACCTATTGTGCAAAATCCACTTGTTCCTGTCTTTTATACATAAACATGTGTCCCCTCTGTGTAAAGAGACTCTGAAAGTTTCAGGAAAAAAGATTCCACTCAGTTTTTGTCCTGATCCATGTATATAAAAACCTGTCTGAAAATGAGCTGATCAGATTTTGGCCACTTTATGATGTCATAACGTTTTTTTTGGCTTGTGTAACCATTAGCAAATAACAAACCAAGGTAACCCCCCCCCCCCCCCCCCCCCACCTTATCACCTGAATCTCCTCCTAGAGCACCATTGTGTTCTTTTTAACCAAATCTATCTCAGAGGGGTGTGGAGAGGGGCTCCTTATTTTCATCTAAAGTAACAGACAGAGAATCAGCACTTTGGAAACAGGGCTGAAACAGAGGGGATTATGGGATGCTGCAATGATCTGTTTGGTATTTTTGAGCCAAACACTTCAGAGACATGTTTTGTATATATCTGAGACTTATAATATATTGATGAAAAACAGTATAATAGGGGACCTTTAAGGAAGCCAAGAGTATTATGCTTTACTGTATACAGAGACTTACTAATAGTCCAGCAGCAAGTCCTCAAAAAAGGCTTTAGTTTTCGAGATACCCCTACCCGAGGTAGAACAAATGACAACAATGATTTTCTTATCTTTAGGGTCTCCCATTAATTAAATTGATTGTTGTCACATTTTATTTTGGGGGCAACATTTTTTTTGGGTTGTTATTTGGAACTACCACAATCCCTGAAAAAGAGCCAAATTAGACCAGGCCGAATATGGGAAAGGTGACAAAAAAGCCCATAACTTGAGAGTGACCTCTCTGTGGTGTCTAGACATTTGTGTTAAGTTAATTTATTTAGTTCAGTCCTTTTGTCTTTTGCCTTGTCTTGTGATTTCCTGTTTTATTTTGTAGTAACCTTTCCCTCTCGTTTCAGAGCATTCCTGCCCTGGTGTGTTTTTCCCACCAGTGTGATTGTCAGCCCCTCCCTTAATTGTTGCCACCTGTGTCCCCTTACCTAGTGTGTATATATAGTCTGCGTCTCCCTTTGTCTTGTGTCAGTTCGTCTTGTCTCGTCAAGCCTGCGAGTCATCCCTTGATCGTGTGAAGTATATTTTTGATAGTCATGTAGATGTTTTTTGGTTTAGAGTTTTTTGATCCTCCAAGTGAGCGTTTTGTATTTGACCTTAATTAAAAGACCTTGTTAATTCTAATCTGTTTCTGGTGTTGTGCATTTGGGTCCTGAGCCTCGTGACATTCTTAACAGTACGAACTGACCAAAGAATGGACCCAGCCGACCCAGACAGGTTCAGAGCAGCTCTGCGCTCACAAGGCACGCTTTTGTCTCAGCATGACGATCAGCTGAAATCAATTGACCAGGGAGTGAGAGAATTGAGTGGTCGTCAAGAAAGCTTCCAAACATCTGTGAACAGCCAAGTAAACCACCTGGCAGATCAGCTTGTTCGTGTCCTTGCCCACCTGGAAGCTGGATCTCAAACTGTTTCCGCGGCTGCACCCCTGCCTGAGGCTGTGATCCAAGGACCTACTTCTTCTTCATGCTCTCGTCTCGCATCTCCAGAGAAATTCTCCGGTGACTCAGGTGACTGTCGTCCTTTTTTAGTCCAATGCGACCTGCATTATCAACATCAGCCTTCTGCTTTTCCAACAGACCAGTCTAGAATAGCTTTCATGATAACACACTTGACTGGTAGAGCAGCAGCGTGGGCTACAGCAGAATGGGCTAGAGACTCTCCCCTTTGCAGATCACTCGGACTGTTTACTGATTCCCTTAAAAAGATTTTTGATCGTACAGCGCCAGGGAGAGAAGCGGCTAAAGTTCTAGTTCAACTCAAGCAAAGAAATCAAAGAGTGTCTGATTATGCCATAGAGTTTAGGACAATAGCAGCAGACAGTGGCTGGAATGATCTGGCCTTGCTGGACGCCTTTGTAAATGGACTTTCAGGCCTTGTCAAAGATCACTTAGTCCCATTAGATCTTCCAGAAGATTTAGACTCTGTGATTGCTCTGGCTATACGAATAGATAATAGGCTCTGGGATAGACAAAAAGAAAGAGAACATCCTGCAGTTCGTTCACCAAGCTCCAGGGGGCCTCCTCGTGGCATCCGGATGAGGGAGGATTCGTTTCCAGGGGTCTGAATCAAGCCTCCTTTGACAACGCCATCCACCACATCAGAGGAACCCATGCAACTTGGCCGAGCAAGACTTCACTGGAGGAGCGGGAACGGCGCCTCCGCCAGGGCCTGTGTTTCTACTGCGGGCATCGTGGACACCTGATGGCCGCTTGCTCACTAAAAGACGGGGCTCCCCAGGCAAGAGGAGGGCGCTGGTGAGCCGACTAACTTCTGACTACTCTCCTCGTACGCTGACTCCTATCCAAGTAAAATTAGGTAAGAAAACCTTAACACAGAATGTTCTCAGAGACAGAGAAAGAAGTCATGGTTCCCTCGGCACACGCACTGGTCAGGCGCTGTCATGGCATTTGGGCTTCAGCACGTCGGGTCCTCCTTAGGACTTCGGCCCGCATGAAAAAAGCGGCTGATCGGCATCGCCGTCCTGCACCTGTGTACAGACCGGGTCAGAAAGTGTGGCTATCCACCAGAGACTTGCCCCTGAACGTAGTCTCTAGGAAGCTGGCACCAAGATTTGTAGGCCCATTCACTGTGGAAAAGTGTATTAACCCTGTGTCTGTTCGTTTGCGCCTGCCTAGATCACTCAGAGTCCATCCAACATTCCACGTAAGCAAACTCAAGCCGGTCAAGGAAAGCAAAATGGTTCCCGCTTCCAAGCCCCCCCCTCCTCCCAGGCTCATTGATGGAGGTCTGGTCTACACTGTCAAGCGTCTGCTGAAGGTCAGAAAACGAGGAAGGGGTCAGCAGTTTTTAGTGGACTGGGAGGGTTATGGACCGGAAGAGCGGGAATGGATCCCGTCTAGCTTCATCGTGGACCAGAACCTGATAAAGGATTTTTACAAAAGCCATCCTGAACTCGCTGGGCCGTCCGGAGCCGTCCGTAAAGGAGGGGGTACTGTGGTGTCTAGACAGTTGTGTTAAGTTAATTTATTTAGTTCAGTCCTTTTGCCTTGTCTTGTGATTTCTTGTTTTATTTTGTAGTAACCTTTCCCTCTCGTTTCAGAGCATTCCTGCCCTGGTGTGTTTTTCCCACCAGTGTGATTGTCAGCCCCTCCCTTAATTGTTGCCACCTGTGTCTCCTTACCTAGTGTGTATATATAGTCTGCGTCTCCCTTTGTCTTGTGTCAGTTCGTCTTGTCTCGTCAAGCCTGCCAGTCATCCCTTGATCGTGTGAAGTATATTTTTGATAGTCATGTAGATGTTTTTTGGTTTAGAGTTTTTGATCCTCCAAGTGAGCGTTTTGTATTTGACCTTAATTAAAAGACCTTGTTAATTCTAATCTGTTTTCTGGTGTTGTGCATTTGGGTCCTGAGCCTCGTGACATTCTTAACACTCTCTTATCCTCTTTAGATTTGCTGAGGTATGAACCAGGTGACTGTCCCACTTCACTAAATAGTCAGACAATTATTTAACTTAAAAAAATACTGAATTATAGTCCTGTAAACTTAGCTTTAGTTTAGACGGAAATTGTACTTGTTGGTGATAGGAACATAGGACTCACTTTTCTCTCATTTATCAGAAAAACCGAAATCCCTAAAAAATATACCATTACTGAATTGTCTAGGGTGCTATTGAACACTAACCAGTAGTTGTATGGTAATATCTGGTACAGTTCTATTGCAAATGAGATTTCTTTAGACATAGGCCTACTGTACCTCTTCTCTGATACAGTCAAATTCTGAATGGGGGAGAAGTGGCACAATAGCTTATAAGTTAAGAATGCTCACTCTGATGGTCATTATATTTGGAGAGGGAAATACCAGGTGGCTGAACTACATCACCAAATAGTCAGAATAAGAGTAACCCAATACAATAAAGTGTATTAGTTCTAAATTGCAAGCCTCTAAAACATAGGTGTAAATAGTACAGGTTTTATTGAGACTGGATCCTTAATTCAAAGTACAGTATACAAATCATCAAATAATTCTGTGAGAGGTCAAGTATATACTAGAATATAATGTTAAATGTCAGGTTCCTCAGAAACGTTAGGGGACAGATTTTGACATTCTGTCAATGTGTCCTCTGGTTGAATGGCCCCATCTCCGACAATCCACCCCTTGCCAACAGGACTCCATAACAAGGGTTTGGGTTCGGCTGTGACACCATATCGCTGTCTGAAACATTGCTCTTTACATGTAAATACAATCATGTCTGTCAATCATGTTTACATGTATTGTTTTGTATTTACTTTAAAATATTCTTCTGAATGTAAACTATTTTTATATTATTGTTAGAGTTCTTAAACTATTTCAAATGAGATTTGTGCTTGTAATATTTAATTCATTTGTAATCAAAGCCTTTCAGCAGCTTTGTCTCCATTTCTGCTGTTCTCGCCGTCTTTCCAAAGCAGGTTTGTCTTCATGGATCTTTTTAAAGCAGAATTCAAAGATACATTTACATTTTAATTGAGCTAATTGACTTAAAACATTTTATTTCAGTGTGTTTTATTAAGTGGTTTAGCAAAACTGATTGAGTGGGTTTCCTGCTAAGACCTTAGAAAGGCTTGTAGGTTTTGAAACTACCGTCCAGAAAAAGTGGTGTTGTCTGACCCCACCTCAGTGTTTAAGCAGCAGAAGAAGGAAGTTGTGAAAGACATAGCAATGTCAAGTGATAGCAACATCAGGAAGTAGTACCATGAGAAGCTTGGGTAATACCAAGGGCTCAGAGAAGAGCTAGAGAAGATGTGGAAGGTGAAGGCAACAGTGGTTCCAGTGGTGATACACTCTAAAAGGTCATTCAGGGGACCTTTTACAACCACTTAATTAAAGGCATAGTTGCAAGATACACATTTGAATTAATTGATTTAGATAACAAATTTAAGTTGCAAACATTAATTTATAAGTTGTGTTGATGTAATAATGTTGGTAATTACATCAACTTAATATTGTGTGTAATTTAAACTCGGATTTCGGCGTTAATTGACTTAAAACCAAATTCAAGTTGTAGTAAGTAATGCAATTGGCTTGATAACTTAATTGTTCTACACCTTGAGTTAAGGATTTCAAGTCCACTCCCACTTAACATGCCTGGACAAGTTCCGACAGTTAAGACAGATAGAAATACTATCCAAAGGACATTTTAAGGTGAGTGTCATCTTTTGTCATTCAAATACAGTAGATAGCCAGTTGCACTGTATAGGAAAATTGCTGTTTGACCAAAATTAGAAGCCTTTGAACTGTGAACAGTTCTGTGAGAGGATACAAAGTAGTAGAGCAGGGGTGCCCAACCGGTCGATCGCGGGGAGATTCCCAGTCGATCGTGAGATGTGTCTAAAAATAGAACAACAATATTCTGTTTTATCGTTAATGTCCTGTAACATAATCTTCCTGTGCCAGAATAATGCACTTGAACGCATCAAAGCTTTGTGATTGGCCGGCGTGACCCCATGTGTCGGGGCGCGGCTGGTGGGCAGTGGGCAGTGCACTAGTTCGCTAACGTTGTCCGTGTCAACAGGAGTGACAGTCCGCACACACACAAGACCGCAATTATGGCAGAAGCAAAACATATATAATTTTCACTCCGAGTGGGAGGATGTTTATGTTTGTATCTATTCCAATTCAAAGTCCATCTGTCTCATCTGCAATGCGAGCGTGGCTTTATCGAAGAAGGGTAATTTAGGAGCGGCATTTCAAAACAGTGCACAAACGCTACGAGACGCTACTAATTCTGCCCTACGCTCCAAAAGGGGAGGGGCCTGAAAGGACAGCTAAATGCACAGCAGTCCATTTTCACCAGTCCCAACAACAAGAGCAAGGCTGCTACCATAGCATCTTATCGTGTCAGTCACGTTCTTGCGAAACACATGAAGTCTTTCAAAGACGGCAAAGTTGTGAAAGAAGCATTCCTGGAGGCTGCCGATGCGTAATAAAAATAACAGTAGCATTTCAACAGGTTTTTGATATGATAAAAACTCAAGTTAGATACCGTTATTAATCAGCTGTAAGTTTGAGTTTGTTTGAACTTATTCATTATAATTATTGTACAAAATGGTATAAGAATACAAACTTAAATTGATTATAGTCTATTATCAATTCAGGTTAAGAAACTAGTGTTGCTGGCATCCTATTTTAAAGGCATTTCTTTTTATAATCTACTAAAATGCAACAAAAAAAGGGTTTGATTCTATTAATTTTGTCTTTTTTATTGCACTGTTGCAGCAGATTCCTGTGTAGCTTCAGATCTGAGTTGTCTTATTAGTAAGCCTAATTTATACTTTTGTAGCAACACTATTTTTAAATAATGGCAAAGAAAGGGTTCAGAGTATTTTCCTTTTTTCCTGTGTCATATGTGGCAGCACTGTTCAATGTTTCTTAAACATTACCCACTGTAGTAAGTGACGTGTGAATAAACTCCAACTCTGTATCAACAACACTGTTGTGTAACTTCAGTTAAATACTTGTATTTGTGTAGATTAGAAAGAGGTAAAATAAAGGATCTGCAGTATTTTATGAAGTATTAATCGTACAAAGGTCAGTTTTATACAAGTAGAAGTGTGTATTTACCTGGTAGTAGGCTGTCAGTAATGGCTACGCCTCTCTATTTGGACTGGTAGATCTCGGCAGACTGGCAACTTTAAAGTAGCTCTCGGTTCAAAAAAGGTTGGGCACCCCTGTAGTAGAGGCTACTGTGAGTGTAAAAATACTTTGGTTACTATTTTGATATCACTTTTTATTAAAAACAATTCTTGGTGAAGCAGATCAAGGACATGCTTCTTAATAATAATAATAATGGGTCAATTTATAAAGCACTTCATATTTGATTTCAAATCCCGAAGTGCTACAAGTAGTGAGCATGAACGGTATAAATAAACATTACACAACACGGTAGAATTAATAAAAAGCAATACAAATAAATAAATAAATAAAAGGGTGATAAAAAGGTCTAGGCAAAGGCTCTTTTGAAGAGATGGGTTTTGAGGCCAGGATCGTTATTTAGAGTTGTCATTGAAATGCAAGTTGCAAATCCTTTTTCAAAAATAGCACAATACAATTGAAGTACGCAGAGAACTAGCCATCCGCTGCCTTGTCGTGTACCTTGGAGAAAAGGAAGAGGACCTTTTCAAGGAGTTTAGCGACATAATTAAAAATCTTGAAATTAACTTAAATCCATGGGCAGAGTGGACACAGGACAAAAGCACTGCTCTCTGTCAGTTACATTTTGAAGCATATTGCACTTTTGGCCACACCCCAATCAATAATATCTTAGCAACGTTCAGCATGGATAGGTGTTGACAGCAATGGCATGGGAAAAGGATTGTGTACATTTTGAAAAGTGGCTTCTGCTCTTCACTTAACCAGTTCACATATTGTATGGAACCTGCTAAAAAGATGAGAAGGTACAATAAAACTTGCACGGTTGTGATTGACAAAAATCTGTCCACATGCATTTAAACACTAGACAAAGTACTCAAAACCACCTCTTTGTGGTCTTTAGGACCACATTGCGATGATGACACACATGCAGACTCAATAGGTGAAAACAATACCTGCGTTGCTTTAGCAGCTGGTAATAATGGCTTTGAATTCGCTAAGAGTGACAGTTTAAAAAGTATACAATTACCTAATTCATTATCTCTTATGCGCTGCGGCAAACTGACCTATGATTTAATGTGCTTCAAAAGGACATGAATATCGCCATCATCAGTGACCGGTCCACCCCAGGATCTGACCATACGATGGCAACCATCGTGGTCGCGGGAAACAAATGAATGAGCAAGCATTCTGCGTTTCATTTTTTCTAATGCTGTCAAAATTATCGCGTTTACGGCGGTAATTAATTGCGTTAAAATATTTAACGCATTTAAGGCATGTGCAGAATGGCCCGCCCCATACATCCCACCAGTGGCAGCGCTGGGGTAGGCTACAGCCATACCAAGAAATGGCTTAGCCCCACCATGAAAAATGATGTTAAAGTAAGCAAAATAAAGTCCGCCAACTCGCGCGGAGTAAATTGCAGAGACAGCAGTTAGTAAGATTGATTTCAGTAGCCACTTGTCTGGAAATACCGAAGACTAGAAACGGTTTTGAAAACTTTTGTCACGTAGTGATCGTCTTCTCAATAGAACATCTTTGATAATGTCTTCTGGCCAATCAGAATCAAGATAACGGCGTGGTGTTGTTGCAGGAAGTCCTGACGGAGAATACTTTTGCTGTAGTACATCTCTATATACATCGATACAACATTACGTGTTGATAGAAATCAACACGTAATGAAATAAGACCCCACGGTTTGATGATTGATAGGTGTGTGGGCTGTCTTTCATTTTGACACACAGAACAATGTTATAATAAACATTCTTTCACACACACATACGGGTATTGGGCCGAGGGCGACACCGTACTTCCGGTATCCGCCGTTTTACGCGAGGTGCAAGCAGCCGTACACCGTCTAGGTGTTGCTAAGCTTCCTGTACTGAATATCATAGTCTATTGCCTTAATCAATATCTAGTCAACTCTAAAATACCACATATATGCAATGGCATGATAATATTATTGTGACAAGTGGGGTATTCACCTGGTGTTTCCAGAAATTAGACGTAGATGCAGCCAAAATCGACGAAGGCCACTGTCGTTTTTCCATACATCTGCAGGCAGTCTGTAAGGGCAATCCGACAACCCACACAGCTCTAGTTTACACTGGTAACGACCTAAAGCACACCCCTGAAGTCCAGAGATGTAATCCGAAGACATGCAGCGATTTCTTCGGTCGTTAATTCAGAAAAAAACCTAGTGCGCTCTGCCTGGATACGTTAGCTAGCTGTTTATATTTGCACTTCCAGGATATTTGCACCTCCAGGAAAATGGCGTATTTTTTATATATGGCGCGTGTTGCATTGTGGGTAGCTCGTGACGTCACTGTGTGTGAAAGAATACTGTGGTGACCAGTGGCGGCCGGCCCATAGCGGCGCCGCACCACCTCTTCCCACATACAAAAAAAAATATTAAAAAAAATATTAAATAAAAAAAAATATATTTAAAAAAAATATATATTTTTATTTTTAATGAACAAGGTAAATATCATACAATTGGTATCACTAAAATGTATAATCTACAATACAATCTCGTTTAAAATTGTGTTACGATGTCTAAAGTTACTGATAAGTCACATGTTTCCTGCCTGGCCTTTGCCCATGGCATTAGTTTATCATTACCGGGCGGAGCCCCCGAGACAAACAGCAGCAACCAGCACGTTGCAAAAGTCTCAATTTTAAACTGTGCCGCCGAAACATAATTTCAGCCAATCAGCGCTGTCAAATATTTTGGTCACGAGGGCCCTCACGTTGGCGCCCACGTTGCTTACGTGCGTTGACGTGAGTTGTTTTTTAGACTCGTGAGTGACCAAGGTGACGCAGTAGTTGGATGAGAATGGTGTGCAGGTGGAGTCGCCGGACCTCGGTCCGCACCCAATTCCGTGCAAGAGCCACTCTCCAATCCTTTCGAAAGGAGAAGTTTGGGAGATAAATTGATACTTAAAGACCTTGGACCGGACCAACCCGATTTGTATCACAGCAAGCTCGTGAAAAAGACAAAACGTATCAACGAGGCTTCTCACATGGCTAGCTGGATGCAAACGATGCAAACAGGTAAATGCTATCTTTTGTTTCCCATGCTTGCTCTTCAAACAGCCGGGGACAGATACGATCTGTTCAGAAACTAGACAAAAGTTACACAAATACAAACCACAGACTGTCTGTGTCATGGAGAATACAGTCGCTGGTTTATTTATGTCTGTATAGGCCGTTGTTGTGAGTGTGGACGGTCGGAGCATATATAACGTTAGCTTAGCCAAGCTCCATTCAGAAAACAAGCATTCTAAAAGGCTTTTCGCCTGCCATCTGTCTGCAGACTTGTCAAAGCATTAATTCATGGATTTTACTAACCGGTATAAGTATGTTGTTACGTCGGCATCATTTAGAAACGTGTATTACAATTTAATCACGGTAAAATATGTTCATTTTGTTGTAGTTGTAGCTCCCGAGCCAGCGCGTCTTGTTTGAATGATGCGAGTAAACACAGCTGGCAGCCGCGGTGAAACTCGAGCGACTAGAGCGATGCGATAAGAGCGTTTAGAGCGAAGCGAATATTCGCATCGCGTCCGGTCTGAACGCAGCATTAAAGCGAGCTCCGCGCTGCACTGGAAACGCGCCATTATATCACCAGAAGTCCTAATTTAAGGGGTCATTTCCGATGGCTGCCAGCTAGCGGCTAAGGGCTAGCTGCTAACGGTTATCGACCCTTCTGAGCTTTTCCCTGGTGCCGTTCGACTCGTGTGGACCCTCTCGTCTTTTCACCACCTCGACGGCGGCTTCGGACATCACATGACATAATTCACTCATGGAACTACAGTTAAGGGTATTGTTTCCGCACGGACATATGTGTTGCTTACTGTATTATTCCCTTATTGTGTGCCCTCCATGCTTCTCGTCCTCTTGTCTACTCGGACTGCAAGCCAGCAACATGTCCTTTTCTGCTCCGCAATAAAGTTCACTTTTGCACCTCCATTGCACCGCCTCCGACTCCCTATCTCTCGGCACAACAATACATACATACTGTATGTTAAATGGATATATCAGCCTTCTTTCATTTATCTTTCCATTCCCACAACAATATACATAAATAAATGGCATATTTTGGACATAGTTCGAATGGTGATTAATCATGATTAATTAATTTTTAAGCTGTGATTAATCTGATTAAAAATTGTAATCGTTTGACAGCCCTAATTTTTTCATACTGTTTAAAATAATGACTGTCGGCAGTGTAAACATCTTTGTTACATATTTTGTAAAATTGATGTGTGTGATCTGCAGATTGGTGGCCATTGAGAGTTAGTTACTGTAGTTTTACAAACACTTATAAAATCAAGTTTTATTTATAGCACATTTATAAACGATTTTTGGTCGAGCCAAAGTGCTGTACATATAATAAAAATAGCCTACAGTAGAGACACTTTACAGCAAAAACAACAGCACAGATTGTTCAGAATATCAGTATGAGAAAAACGACACCCTCTGTCCTTAAGGCCCTGACACACCAAGCAGTCACCAGAGGACTCGCCGACGTCAGCTGTTGCGTTGCGGTGTTCTCCTGCGTCTTGGCCATGTGTCGCACGGGAACACACCGCAAAGACTTCAGTGCGTGAGTGGCAATAACTCTCCTTACCAGTAGGCGGCGGTAGTGCATATTCGTCATTAAAAATAGGCAACAACCGGAAGACAGAGAAGAAGAACAGACTGCGTGATATAAACAACAACAAATAGCGTGTGCAAACTGCAGCCTGGTTATGATCCACTGCTATCTGCCCGTCTTTGGTGCTCCACAACTACCCGAAGGGGCAAGTCTCCTGTAGGCCTACCGGGTGTACTGGGTTCGCAGAGAATCCCACTTCTTCCTCAGCTCTTTCTCTGAAGCACACAAATAAACGATGTAAGCATTGTGGCTAGTTAGCATGTCCAATTCATATCTATATGCAGTGCCAAACTACACAGCTAGCAACAGCTAGCAACAAGATAACAACAAAACACAAGGTTGAAATAACAAATTACATTTCACGTTAACGTCACTGTACGCTGGCAAACAATAAAAAGCCAACAATATCTGCTAAAGAGCTCAATTGATGAAAAAGATAATCTTACCCGAGAAACCAAGTTGCGTTTCAATCTCTCGCCAGAGTCCGGTTTTCACTACTCGGTTCGAGTACCTTTTCTCTGTGATGTCGTACAGAGCTGGCCTCTCCTGGATCAATGTGATGAGCAGGTCTTCGTGTACACAAGACGGCATCAGGCAAAACCGTTTTAAATGTGTGTTTTGTAGAGCCGATGAATGGGAGTCGGAGGCGGTGTGTTAAGTATGGAACTCCACACTTTATTATACATTGGATCACAAGAGATGAGTACACTTGCTGCTACTGCATGTCATGCTAGCCAGAATGAACAACAACCCCGGTGCCCTCACTAACGGGTCCGGGTTGCAACACACACCAAACACACGGTGAATTATGTCCTATCACGTGGCACCACACAAGCCCCCCCAGAATTCACATATACACAAAATCAGCGTGGCGGGGAGGAACGACACGCCGACCCCCACGACTCCTGCACACGGGAGTCGGAAAATCGACGTCCGCCTGTGCGGCCCCCGGAAGAGTTGGGACCGGAACCGTAGGCCCCCGATTCCGAGACAGGGGTCGAGGCCGGGGGGCAGCCCCGTCGCGGAGGTCGAGCCAGCACCACCGGCTGGTTTAAGTCCAGGTGAGCAGCCTTCACCCGGTCCACCGAGACGTGCTCGGCCTTACCACCTAGGTCGACCACAAGGTGTTTGTCCCCGTGCTCCAGAACCCGGAAAGGCCCATCGTAAGGGGGCTGTAGAGGTCCCCTGTGCGCGTCATTTCGGATAAACACATGCCCCGCCGGGCGGAGCTCCATGGGAACCCGGGACACCTGAGTACCGTGCCGAGCAGTGGGGATCGGAGCAAAGGCCTCAGCGGCGTCCTGCAGGAAAGCCCGCTGGGCCGTCGCCGACCAGGGAGCCGATGCGTTGGGGAGGAAATCCCCCGGAACCCTCAGTGGCTGACCGTACACCAACTCCGCCGTGGAGCACTGCAGATCCTCCTTAGGCGCGGTCCTCAGGCCCAGCATCACCCAAGGCAGCTTGTCGACCCAATTACGTTCCGTCAGGCCGGCCTTCAGGGCCGCCTTCATGGAGCGATGGAACCGCTCACAGAGGCCTGAGGGTGGTAAGCGGTAGTCCTGTGCAGCTTAACCCCCAAACCACTCGCCACGGCGTTCCAGAGGTCGGACGTGAACTGTGAGCCCCTGTCCGAGGAAATGTCTGACGGGGTGCCAAAACTACACACCCATGTCGCAATGAAAGCTCGGGCAATGAAATCTCGGGCAATGTCTGCGGGTGGTGTTGACACGAGAGGAACCGCCTCCGGCCAACGGGTCCTCCTGTCCACCATGGTGAGGAGGTAGGAAAAACCCTGAGAGGAGGGCAATGGACCAACCAGGTCGATGTTGACGTGGTCAAACCTCCTCTCAGGCACCAGGAAACGCTCCAAAGGGGCCTTCGTGTGGCGGTGCACTTTAGCGCGCTGACAAGCCACGCACTCACCAGCCCAAGTCCTCACGTCCTTTTTCAGCCCATGCCAGATGAACTTCGCGGCCACCAAGCGCACCGAAGGCTTAACGCCGGGGTGTGACAGGCCGTGCACTGCCTCGAACACAGAGCGCCTCCAGCTGGCAGGAACGACTGGCCGCGACAGGCCCATGGAAACGTCACACAGGAGGGTAACGCCCGCGTCGCCGAACACAACTTCTTCCAAGCGCAGCCCCGCGCCCTCCACCTTCAGAGCCTGGACGCCGGGGTCTGTGACCTGGTCCGCCGCCATGCGAGTATAGTCCAGGCCCAACTGGACGGCTCCGATGACGACTCTGGAGAGGCAATCTGCAACCAGGTTCGACTTGCCAGCCACGTGCTTAATGTCTGTGGTGAACTCCGAGATGTAGGAAAGCTGCCGCTGCTGACGTGCCGACCAAGGCTCCACCACTTTAGACATGGCGAACGTGAGCGGCTTGTGGTCGACAAATGCCGTAAACTTACGGCCTTTCAGCAAAAAACGAAAATGCTGCACGGCCAAATAAAGTCCAAGGAGCTCTCGGTCAAAAGCGCTGTACCTGCGTTCTCTGGGCGTCAGCTGGCGGCTGAAAAAGGCGAGTGGCTGCCAAGCACCCTCTACCCACTGCTCGTGCACCGCACCAACAGCGTAGTCCGATGCGTCTGTGGTATTGGAGATGGGAGCCGTGGATGATGGATGCGCCAACAGGGCCGCCTGAGCCAACGCGGTCTTGACCTCCGTGAAAGCAGACGCAGCTTCCGCCGTCCAGTCGATCGCCTGAATGGGGGTCGTACCTTTCAAAGCCTCATACAGCGGCTGCATAATGTGAGCGGCCCGGGCGATGAAACGGTGGTAGAAAGTCACCATCCCCAGAAACTCACGGAGCGACAGGTGCTCTTCCACCGGAGCGCTGGCGACGAGTATGTCGTCCAGGTAGACGAACACGAATGGCAGGTCCCGCAGCACCAAATCCATCAGGCGCTGGAACGTTTGGGCGGCGTTCTTGAGCCCAAAAGGCATCCGCAGGAACTCGAAAAGTCCAAACGGCACCTGGTGGTAACCACGCACCTGGTCCACTTTCGAAAACACAGACGTACCGGCCAGATGTGCCGAGAAGTCTTGAATGTGCGGCACCGGGTAGCGGTCGGGTGTTGGTAATCCCCACAAGGGCGCCAACCACCGTTCAGCTTGGGAACGACGTGTAGAGGAGAGGCCCAAGGACTGTCAGAACGGCGGACGATGCCCAGGCTTGGTTGAAAACTCCGCCCTCGCTACTGCAAACTTAGAAGGGTTCAACCGCCGGGCCCTGGCGTAGACTGGGGGACCTTCGGTGGTGACGTGGTGCTCCACCCCATGCTTGGTGGTGAGCGCGGAGAAGGTGGGCAGCGTCAGGTCTGGAAAGTCAGCCAACAGCCTGAGAAAAATGTCCGCTCCCGACAGCGAGCCCGACAGCCCCCTTGCAGTACGCTGCCTTGCCAAGTGTACACACGAGGGAGGAAAACGTCAAGGCATCAACCAAGCGTTTATTTTTAACGTCCACAAGGAGTCTGTGAGTACATAAAAAATCCGCCCCGAGGAGGGGAAAATAAATGTCTGCCGTCACAAAATCCCAGTTGAACCGCTGTCCTCCAATACACAAACACATAGGCCTCACGCCGTATGTGCGAATGGGGCCGCCATTAGCCGTCGTCAACCGCGGTCCATGTCCCCCACGAGCGACGTCTTCCCTCGAAGCAGGAACTACACTCCGTTGAGCTCCCGTGTCACACAAAAACAAGCTTCCCGAGACTCTGTCGCTGACGAAGAGAAGCCTGCTCGTGCCGCCAACGCTCAGGGCCACTACCGACCGCTGGCTCCTCCGTTTCCCAGAGGCTTGTAGCTGCAGGGAGCGACACACTTCTTCGCGCTGGTCCCGAACCGCGCGTGGTAAAAACACTCTCCTGTGTCTCCACGCCGGCTTGCTGCTGTCGCGTCCAGTCTCCCCCAAGCCTTCTTAATTGTTGCGGGGGCGCTGAGTGTCACAGCTAGCTCCTCTGCACCGGGCTGCTGGGTAGCCAAGAAGAAAAGGTCGGCCTCTTCAGCCAATGCACGGGGCTCTGTAATGGACGTGTTGGCTAGCGCCGTCTGGACACTACATCTTTACCAAACTAATAGCATCTTATTTCCAATCTGTAATTTAAATTACTAGTTTTATTTAACTATATTTTTCGTTTAGCACATGTAATTATTTCCTTTGCACATTGCCTTGTGGAATAAATGACCACATGAGTAAGTTACCTGTAGCGGTTTAAATGCAAATAGACTAAAATGCTTGAAACCTCTTCAAGACCGGACCCATTTCTACTTTTGGGGAAATTAAGGGGAACATAATTTAGACTAAATAGACCACATAGAACACATTTCTGACAAGAAATCCCCCCCTAGTGTCAAATATCTGAAAAGTGACATTATGTCACATTGGGCTAAAGGTCCCATGTCATGGCCATTTCTACTGATCATAATTCCATTGTTAAAGTCTACTAGAATAGATTTACATTGTTCAATGTTCCAAAATCACATTGGTTTTCTCATACAGCATCTCTGTATAATATGTGTATTCACTCTCTGTCCAACATGCCTTGTTGGAGCTCCCGCCCCCACCTCCACTGTGCTCTGATTGGTCAGCTCCCCCACTCTGTTCTGATGAGTCCACCACCGTTACAGCGGAACATCAGTGATTATGTGTTACAATGGCGTTGGCAACCAGAAAATGACACCAGTAATGACAAACAGATGAGAATGCTGCGTGGGGTCTGGGTGCTGTGTTGGCGGGATGTTGCGGGGCTCGCTGGTTCGTCCTGTGGGGCTCGAGGAGCGGACAGTGCGAGTTGGAATACTGGTGTAGTTTCCTGGTTGCTGCGTGGGGTCTGCGTGCCATGCCAGCGGCTATATCCAGCATCCAGAGAAACACAGCTGGAAATCCACCACACACTGTCCGCTCCGGGAGCCTCGCGGGGCGGACTCCTGAGCTGCTCGGGAGTTCACTCTGGCAGAGGGTGTGCCTATTGTTCTATAGCTGTGTGCCAATTGGTCCATTTGGACTTAGTGATGTCAATAGGCCCCGTAAGAAAAAAATGGGAAAATAAAAATCTCCAACGAGGCGTACTGGGGCAGCATAGACACGTATTTTCTGTGTTAAGAGTTTTGCTCGTTACGGTGTACTTTGAGGGTTTGTGACTTTTCAGACCGTTTGCATGCCGAAAAAGCTCATTAATACACAAGGGGACGGGTAATAACCAGAAAAGCATATGAAGGGGCCTTTAATGGTAAAATAAGTCTTATTTATAACTTCATTAATGAGGAGGATTTTTTGGTTTGAATTAGTTTCAACATTCTTTGAATTGAGGAATAAAGTATATATTAACTAAATTGAATCAGCTAAATTAACTGAGCAGATCATAATCATATTTATAATTGTGACATGTGTCACTCCTGGTTTACTGTGAAAGTTTAAGGTTAATGTCCCGATGTGACATCACTGTCACAGCTATATTTATCTCATTTGTTTCATATCAATTTGATCAAGAAATGTTTCCACAACAGCTTAAATGTAATAAAGGACATGTTATGTAAGCATTTTAATTCTTAAATGGCTTGAACTTTATTTTAGCAACAAAAAAACAATCTTGGACATGTTGTTATGGGAACACAAAATCACATGACCTGGCCCATGACCCACCAGAATGTTCAGTTTGTATATAAATGTTATTCATTGGGATAAACCCCTTGAGATGCACCATCTCGTTTTCAAGGGGGTCCCAACAATAGCAACAACTTACAGACATACATAAACAAAAATACAAAATGCAAAACATGACACACAAGACAAACCACATACAGTCTGTTAAGTGAAATTCAAGCAATGCACACAATCATTACAATTTGAGACAGTCGAGCAAATCTGTTTCATCAATATCAGTTAATAACAAGTACAGACCAGTTGAAAGTGAGATAACAATGCATGTTTAAATATACCCAATGATGCAAGAGATCTAATAGCAGCAGGTAAAGTATTCCAGTCAGTTGGGGCTTTAAACATGAACGCTCTTCTGCCAATCAATTTTTTTGCAGAGGGGACAGATAAATCAATCTGAACAGAATGTCTAACTTGATGAATTGGTGAGTAAGGTACAAAATACTGCTTTAAATAAGGGGGATAGTTAAGATAAATGCATTTAAATATCAGCTGAAGCCAATGCATGTCTTCTTACATTTAAAGAAGGCCATTTAAGTTGGTTATACATTGTGCAAAAACTTTTTGTGTATACGAAAAGGACAACCAAGAACAAATCTGCATAGTCTGTTATAGGCTATGTTGAGTGGAGCAAGATCTGATTTATGTGCATTTTGGTAGACAACATCACAATAGTCCATAATCGGAAGAATAAGTTGAGAAGCAATTCTCTTTCGGACACTGAGCGTAAAACAATTGCGAGAGCGGTGTAAAACACTGATTCAGTAATTTACTTTTTGTATTGCATGCTTTATATGTAGTTTTAAATGAAAGTTCAGAGTCTAGCCATATACCAAGATATTTCAAGCTATCAACTTTATGCAGAGAAGTGCCATCCTTACATGTTATTACTACATTAGGTTTGGATTTGAGCTTATGCCTGGTACCAAAGACCATGGTATAAGATTTTGTTTTGTTAAGCAGTAGTTTATTGTGTGATAGATAGTTTGTGTCACTGATGAAATAAAAACAAAGCTAAAGCTATATAAGGAACTCTCCATTTAAATGTCATATGACACGGTGGACATGACATTTATTGTCTTGGTTATGGGGAAGAAAGCAAACAGGTTTCCTGTGCAGCAACAGCCAATCCCAGTGTGTTACGTATGCTTTTATCTCATTGGATTATGCTGGAATAGAAATCCTGTGTACATGTGCCAACCCCAAGAAAGTTTCAAACGGAAAGCCACACTGACAGAGACAGTTGAGTCGTTGCACAACTTTCCTGCTGGCCACATCTCAAACTGTAGTTGACAGAGATGAATTCTGAAGGCTACCCATCTGACAGTGTCCCATTGCAGGGGAGACACGAAGGGTTTCATGGACAGCCTGGAGTATCTACAGTGGTTCAGTGCACATCTGAGAGCTTCCCCCCTGAGCCACCCAGGGACCACATCATCTGGTCCCTCTGCTGCTTTTTATACTCAAACGCCTGCTGCCTGGGACTGGCGGCTCTCATCTTCTCCATCAAGGTGAGTTTCATTCATGGGAAATATTCTGTTATGGCAAAGAATAGTAAAAAAATAGTTTAAGGTCGCATTCACACCAGCCTTGTTTAATCCGGATGTCTTCAAAATCTTTAGCGAAAGAGTCTTTCAAGACATCCGCGGTTGTTTAGTTAATGAGTGAAGCAGAATTAAGTGTTGAAAAGTGTTGTGTAAAGTAAAAATGCTCCATCAACTAAAAGTAAGAACACCTGTCGTCGGTGAAACGCCCCTCCTTACTGCAGAACGTCTCATTATATGTGTTTTTAACGGACGTTGTCTGATTATATAATCATATGCGCGGGCCGCTAGAGTCTGTTGATCTCCAGATTAACAGCAGCATGAGAATAACCTGCCGAAAGGGCCGATGCTCCATGGTGGAGGCTCCGGTAGAAATTGCCGGGATTTGCGTTTTTACCCCCTTAATGTCTGACCAATGGTTGAACAGCACATGACTTGTGTTTAAAGTGTATAGTCCGTTTGAGTTTTGCCCGCAAACCGAACCTTCTGAAAAATGAAACAATGTAACAAACTGTTGTCTGGTGTGCAGGGGAGCCGCCAGGGATTTTGGACCCCATGAAAATATATCACATTGGGCCCCACCACCAGGCACAGGCCACGCCAACCAAGCACAATGCTGTAACCACACCTCCAGAACCCAACCGACTCATTTATGCTTTAAATAACTCTACCTGTACAGGCTTCAATCTATCTTGTAGTCCAATACTAACTGCACAATATTTACTGACAATGAGCGGTGAACA